AGTAAAACCAGCTGACCAAACATGCTGGAGCTCTGCTTGGGTGCTAGGTAACAGGTTGGGCTTTGCTGGTGTTGCTAGGTAACAACGCAATGCCAAATGTGACTTAAAAATCATCAGTTTTGAAACGGCTCATTTTCCAAACACTAAAAAACATTAACTTATTTCCAGAAAACAGCTGGATGATTTCTTTAAAACATTTTGGCTGCTTTTAGAAGCAGTTGAGACCCAAACAGAGATATAAAAATGTGCAAAATGTGAAATTTGCTTATTAGGTCCTTTAAATGCTCACGAAAACTTTACTATTGTCATTTGAGCCCATTTTTGTTCCTGGGATGTTTTTCTGGCCAGACATGGGTCAGTTTGACGCCACAAAGGGAAAGCAGGCTCTGGAAATCCGTAGCAGCCTATCAGAGAGGAGGGCGCTGACCGACCCTATTCTGCCCGGCGACAGTGCCGACCTGGTTCACGCTCACAGCACACAGTGGGCAAAAGCTCACGGTAAGTGTTTTAAAAGTGTCTAATAATTTCTTCTCTATCGTTTGGGAAGCCTTAAGTTAGACCTGGTGGCTCTAAATTATGCATTGACATAATTAGTCTTGTTAAAAAAATTAATGTAAATATACTGGGATTCGCCTGGTTTATTCAGTCATAGCTGATCGGGGAATAAAGGTTGGTGAGGCTGGTTTGTTGATTAATTTTGGATTAACTAATTAATAATTAGATGGTAATAGATGCTAACTATAAGATTTTTTAAACAGAATTTGAACCAGGTGAAGCTAAAAGGTATTTTTTTTATCTTAAATGCAAAATAAAAATATTTCTTGTACGTTTTAGCTTAATAAATTCAGTAAATGACCTTATTTTTTTAGTCTGTATATCCCAGTTAATGATTAAACAATTACCAAATTAGTTGATGATTATTTTACTAATCGATTAATCACGATTAATCGCTTCAGCCCTAAATAATAACAGTATTCAAAATGAACTTTAAATGTTTGTTTGTTGTTTCAGAGCTTCCTGAAAGCATGAGTCTGAACTTTGACTGCGGCGCTCAGATCAAGCTGGGCTTTGCTGCAGAGTTTTCCAACGTTCTCGTCATTTACACCCGCATCGTGAAGAAGCCCGAGGACATGTCCTTCTGCCAGGCTCACGTCACCGACTTCTCTCTGGTCTGCATGCTGCGATGTGCTCTTCTTGATTACTTCACAGATGTTTTGTAATATTGTGAGTTGGAAGGTGAAATCCTGATGTTTATACTGCAGGACCTTGATGTTGATCCAAAGGAAATGAACAGAGAGACTCCAGAAGAGACGGGGATCTACCTGCTGTCCAGCAGCCTGCCGCAGCACTGCCTCTACACCAGACTCAGCTCTCTGCAGAAACTCAGGGTAAAAACACATCGAGCACCTTAAATGTTCCCCCAAAATCACCCTCAGGTTGTTTAACAACATCATTGATTAGCAACATCTTTATAGATTCTCCTTGATAATAAAAATGAGAAAATATCTGCAGCCACTTTAAGTGCAACTACAAGAAGATAGAAGGTTTATTTTTACAATAAATGGCATCCATGAAGGAGATTCAAGGTGCTGAAAACAAATGACCTTCAAATATTTTTCAAAAACATCCTGCTGATCCCACATGCCTTTAGGAAAATCTTTTGTGAACCAGACAAAAGTCGGCTCTTTTTAGAAGCTGTGTGACCTGTTGCATCTGCTGCACATGTGAACATCATGATGTCAAACACGGTAGTGATGGTATGATGATCCGGGGCTTCAGGACCTGGTTGGCTTCCTGGGATTAATGGAAACATTTGTGACTTCTTAGGTCAAACATATCTAGTTTATCCAGAAGATGAAGCACTCCACGAAATCTATTTATGAAAGTGATGGTTTTGCAGTGGCCTAGTCAAAGTTGGGACTCGCTGTTCATTTTCAAAAACCCTTCAATTTCACTAACTGATTACAAACTTTATAAAGAGGAGTGTATAAAAAGTGCTTCCATAGCTATTTAAAATGCTTATCAGAATAAACATGATGGGTTTTATTTAAACTTTTTAGCTTAATGAGATATTACTTTTTCACATTTTTTTATTTCCTTTAACCAAGTAAAACCTCACCTTGGTGTAAATTACCTTTTTATCTTGTTTAATTTTGTCTGAAAAAACAAAAGAAATGTTTCAGAATGCAAATATTTTTTCTAATCACAAGCGACAATTTTGGCAAAATTCAGCCTTTTCAGCTGTAGAAATTCCTCAGATGTTCTAAATATGAAGTTTTCTATGTCTTGACATGGCAGCAGCTGCCCAAACAAAAACTAAATACTGCAAAAACAGCCATTCCAGTCCTGAACGTCTATTTAAGCTTTTTATTCAAACTTTTGATGTTGTTTTCTAAACATTTTGTCTCTCTGTTAACCCCTCCCTCAACAGGAGGAGCTGGTTTTCACCGTTTGCCTTCAAGGAACGTTTGCAGCCATGGACGATGACCATCCCATATTCTGGACCAAAAGTGTGAACATCGGGAAGCCGCTGATCGCCCGGCTGGACCTGCACCGGGCCGTGCGGCGGAACAGCTGCCTGCAGACCTGCATGATGCCCCACAGCCCATCCCAGAGTCCCTGCCACAGCCCGGGCCCGGAGCACCAGCACCACCTGCACCACGGGTCGCACCAGGACTACAACCGCCTATCCCCGCAGCACCGCTACCTGCACATCAGCGAACACGCTCAGGGCGCAGCGGGCGGCTGCGGCTTCTCCTGCTACGACCAGCTCAGTCAGTGCGACTTTGACCGGACCTACGAGTCCGACGGACTCCTGAGCTCCCCGGGGAAGCTGAGCATCCCCATCGAGGCGACGGAGGACATCAACGAGCTGCAGGCCGTGTTCATCAGCAGCCTGCACCTCCAGCCGCAGTGACGCAGAGCCTCCAGCCGCAGTGACGCAGAGCCTCCAGCTCGCTCAAAGGACGGATTTCTGTTCTGCTGCTGTTCGATTACCTTCTATACCCTTGAATTTCTGAGCATTAGGAGTATTTAGATTTTACAGTGCCCCCTACAGGGAGCATGGGGGACTTTTTTTTGTTACCTCACAAAAGTATTGCGTTCCCTCGCGATAAATTATATTGTAGGCCCATTGTACGAAGAATAAAAAGTACATTTTTGCCAAAAATATTTTGAGTCTAGTCTGAGAAATGTTTTTGAAAAAAATCTAAAATTTTTTTGAGTTGAAAATTTGCTAGAAAAAAATCTAAAATTTTGACATTAATTTTAGAAATGTTCTTGAAAAAAACTTGCAAATTTCTGTGTTTCATAATTTTAAAGTTGGTAGAAAAAACTCAAATGTTTCCTAGATGAAACTAGGAAAGTTTTGAGTTTCACAAGTTGGAAATGTTTTACTTTTAGGAATTCCTCCAAATGCTTTTTCTATAAAATTGAAATTAATCTCTTCAATTAACCTTTTTTACAGCAAAGTTTCAACTATTGAAAGTTTGAAATTTCCAAGATTTTTCTAGAAAATTTATTGTCGGAAATGCATCACTACTTTTTCATGTGTGCACAATGGCCCTAACACTGCCGTAATTTTCTAAACAGTCGCAGTGATAACAAATATCAGTTTTGACCTGTACATTAAACTTTAACTAAAAACGTGTTTCTGCATTTGTAACTTGTTGGACCTGAAAATTGGTTGAAAATTAATCTATTAATTGGTTGCCTATGGTTGTTTATGTAATATCTTTCATGCTTGTGGCTTTTTGAACACAAATTTGTGGTGCATTTATCCAAAAGAAAAATAGGTAACTCAAAAATGAGATAATACCTGGAAAAGCCTTACAAAACCTTCCATGATGCTGCATGAACTGGCTACTAAATACATTATTACGTGGGAACGCAAAAACTTTGTGAAGTAACACAAAAGAAGAAGATTACATAAAACTTTGTGCGTAAAGGTTTTATTTTAAATATATATTTTTAGATAAATGTATTTTTGTAAATGTTGATTGTTGCTGTGGATTTGATTGTCACTGTGTATAGGAAGAACAAAATATATTCTAGTTTTTCTCAATGAATTACCCCCCAAAATTTTCAGTAAGTTTTGAATTCAGAAAGTGAAACAAAATTAATTTACCTGAAACCTTGAATAATTACATAAGACCAATAAAAAAATGTTAATTAAGATTTTTTTTATTTTATTTTTTGCATACTTTAGCTTACAAGACCAAATCATTTTCACAGTTATCCAGCCGACTCTCTCGTCCTCCACATGGATAATAAACTCCAAATGATCACAGTGATGGAAAGTTTAGTGGAGGGAGCCTGCACTTTTGAGAGGATTGTGAAACAAAACCAATCCAAGATTCACAAAGTGTGGATTACAGCAGGAGTCGGGTCAAATCCTGCACTCGTTTTTCATTTAAACCTGTTTGAATTTTCCCTATGAAAACTACAAAGATCTGGATTTTGAAAGGTTTTAACCTTGGAGTGTTTAATATTTCCTGTCATGACTGAGTAAGTTTCCAACTGTGTTGCAGACCAGAGAAATAAAACCATTTCCATAAAGTAACACAAAATGTTACCAAGTATTTTTGGTTTAGTTTCTCGTTCAAATATTTTTGTAAAGTTGAAATAAGACAAAACTAACTTACAAGTAACTTTTTAGAACTATGAGCTTTATTTAAGTGAATAATTCATGAATATTTATGAAAAATCGTTGCCGATTATTTCACTGATAGCAAGACATTATTTCCATGTCAGAAGTGAAATAATCAGCCAGTGTAATCAGAACTAAATCATCAATATTAAGGAATTATTTACCTAAAATGAGCTTCTGCACTTTAATGAAAAGTTTGTTTTATTATTTGCACTAGAAATTAAACCAAAAATACTTTGTCAGATTTTTGTTTACAATAAGGGTAAAAAAGCACTGAGAAACAATAAAAAATAATAATTCCATAGAAAAAAGAAATAATAAAAAACATTGAATATTACTCAGTATTTGTTTTGTTAGTGGACTAAACAGGAAAAACTAAATTTTTTACTGTTAAAAATGCTAATTTCCTGTAAAAAGCCACAGTGCATCATTTATTTAGTTGTCTTTCATAACAGAACAGTTCCCTGTCCTTGTGCTGCTCACAAAGGGAGGCCTCCTGCTCATGTTACTCGTTCCTGCCAGATCCTCTCTGATAACAGAAAGAAACTCTCTAGCAGAGTGTAGCGCCTGTATCGACTTTTCCAGTGATGCATTTGAGACAGAATTGCCTTTCCACGAGTTTCCCTGCAGGACAAAAACACCCTGCAGTGCAGCATGAGGACCTGAAGGCTGTCGGACTCAACAACGGATGGAGTCGTCGTCTTCTGCCACACACAGGATGCAGTGATCTCACTGCTGCGTCACAGTGGAGCCGGTGGAGGAGGGGCGGTGCAGCGGCGGAGACACAGACCTTCTCCCACAGAGGACAGAGGAACATCAGCCATGAAGCAGCTTCCCATCATCATCCTCCTGACGCTGGCCACCTGCAGACTCACCAGCTCAGGTAGATCACCTGCTGGTTCGATTTCTGATCAAACTGATGTTCTTCCCTCAGGTTGCTGCTGAATGTTCCTGTAACCTTGACAGGAAAATGTAGCAAGATTGTCATATGATTGCACCACATGTCGTTAAGTTTGAAGTTTTGGATTAATGTGATTTTTTAAAAATGTCCAGAGAAATTGTTCTTGTCTTCTAACAGTGGAGAAATACTTCAGTGGGATGCTAAAATTATTAATTTAACCAAAATAAGTTGTTTTTCTTTACTTAAAGATAAACAGGCGACATCCCTTTAAAACACCAAGAAGAAACTAAGAATAAAATGATTTAAAATTTACTACAGAAGAGGATTAGGACCACTGAAAAGAAAGAGAGAATTCTGATTTGAATCCTTTAATTAGGGAATTAAAGGATTAGATTCTGACTTTAATCCTTTAATTAGAACATTTTATGATTTAATTCTTACTTTAATCTCAGAAATTTGACTTTAATCTTTTAATTGGAGAATTGAAGGTTTAAATTCTGACTTTAATCTTATAATTTTAACCTTAATCCTTTAATTAGAAAATAGAACATTTTCATGTTAATCTTCATTTTCAAATCCTAGAACAGTGTATTCTGTCTTTTTAGTAAATCAAGCAGAGAGTTGTAATATTTATATTTTTTTACCCTAAAGTAAAGCTTCCAGTTTTGCCACTAATCAGTTAAAATATGTATCCGTGTCCTTCTGTTCTGAGGCCTCACTCTCAGTTTTGCTCAAACCGTTGGTCTGCTGGGAAGAGATCCGATGACCAAAACCCATCTGAAGCTCTCTGCAGTGGTGTTGAAAACTGTGTTTTACTTGTAATCTGAACCTCTGCTTCCAGCAGCATCGTGTTTGGATCTTTAGGGTGGCATTTCCAAAACTGGATCTCTAGTGATGGGAAAGTTAAAGGAAACACTTTTTCAGTTCTATCAGAAAATAATAAACACAACCTGGCTGTTACCAATTGTTTCTGTAACAAACAAAAATGAAGTCAGAATTGAAAATCCATTTGTAAAAAAGACACAGATGGAGTTTTTCTAGGCTTTTAGATCTAGAAATACTACAGTGGATTAAACACTGTTAAAATAATCTGAAGGGTAGATTAACTAGCAAATAATGATATATTCTGCTGACAGAAACTGTGGGTCCCACACCGACGCCACTGGGTCCGGTCAGCTCTCTTCCAATGAACACCAAGAGCGTCCACCTCACAGGTCACAACATTCACATTTATCTAAAATATTTAATGAGGAAATTCTTTTATTTTATTCACAAATGTCATGTTTGCTTTTACTCAGGCGACAATAAAATTGAGAATGTTGAGCTGCTGAATCCTGTCAATCTGTCGATGGAGTGCATCTGGACTGGGAACCAGAACAATCAGCCCAACATCACTGGTTACTGGAGAAAAGGCGGAGTGGAGATTCAGGACAGCCGAGTCCCAGTGGACCCAGAGAACCAGCAGTACACACTCAGACGAGTGTAAGTGACTGGAAATTAACCCAAACTGGAAAAAAAAAACACATTTATGGGTTTTAGGAAAATGGATCTTTGCAAAACATTTTAAATTTTTGATGTTTTATGTCATTCTATACAGTAACAACCAAAATTTACCAGCATAGCGATATAAAAACTGGCCCCCTTTCTGCTTAGATCTACAAAAGTAACACTGTTTTTATTATTTTAACCTAAAAATAATAATAATAACGTATATCAATTCTAAATTATACCCATCAATTACAGTAACATGATAGTATGTTATTCAAACAACCTTTTATTGTCAGAACATAATAAATGTTTGTAGAGATTTAATGTGAAGCAGCAAAAGCAGATGAGGTGGAATAGCAAGGTGGCTTTTTAACTTGCAAACTGAACTGTTTTGAATATGTTTAGATGGAGCAACTGAAGGTTTGGTTTATAATCTGAAATGTTATAAAAGTCATCTGACTTGTTCTGAATAATTCAACACAGTCTGAATATTTTAAATATTTGTTTTTTCAGTGTTTTAATTTTATCCAGTGTAGCTTTCTGTTGTTTCTGTGCTGTTATCTCACCTTTACGGTTCAGAAAGAATGCCTTTGAATCCAAAACCTGCCTCTGGGTTAGCAAACTGCAGACGGGTCACATTTTAGACAAAAAAACTGTAATGCAGACGGGTCACATTTTAGACAAAAAAACTGTAATGAGAAACAAAATGTTAACATCTTTTCTCTGTTTTTCAGGTTCAACATTGCGAGTGAGGAACACCTTGGAAATTACACCTGTGTGTTTGAAAATGAAGCAGAACTAGATTTTATTTTGGCAGGTACCGACCTCATCTGCATCACCTTTACTGTCTTGTTTTGTCATTTTTTTGTACATTTTTTTCAGAAACCTGCTGCAGATGCTCAGTAACTTGTCGGCTCCGTCTTTCAGTGCCGCAGATCGGTGAGAAAAGAGAGAAGCCCATCGTCTCCTATGTGGGCGACTTTGTGATTCTGACATGCAAGATGGAGGACAGCAAACCAGCACCAAGAACCTGGTACTGGTTTAAGAACAATGGCACCAATAAGGCGAGTGAGATCTTTGACATAACATGATTTCCTTTACATTTGAGTTTTACCTGTAGTTGGATAAAGTTAACAGCTTGACTGTAAAACTCACCTTTATGATTCTTGTAAAAGTATTTATGGAGAAAAAAACTGCATTTTATTTTAAACATGTAATATTTATACCAGCATCAAGACTTTTTCCTCAAATGGCCGATTGTGGCAGAATTTATTGATAAAAATACCAATTAACAAACTGCTAAAATATGATAGCATTTCATGAACAATATTATAGTTAAATCAGCACAAAATAAACTTTATTCACCAGATTTGGGGGATTAAAAAAAACGATTGATACCATCCCTCGATTCGTAATCAATAAATAAAATTTAACATAATTAATGTCATTTGGCACCATACAATTAAAAGAGCACTATTTCTGAATCAAAGTGTGGTCCAGGGGCTACTTATGGCCCATGGCCTGACCTTGTGTGGTCCTCAACTGCAATACAAAGACGTAAAAATCTATACAATTCATACCCAGCGTCTTTATTTTCTATTATGCAACCGTACATATTTGAAAAGCATTAGTAGAGCTTTCTGCACAACCAACAAAATCCACTATTTCTGAATCTATAATTTTGGCCCACATTGTTAGGACCCCCAGCTCTAGAGCCCAGAGGGCCACATAAATACCCGTGGTGGGCAACATTTGGCCCGCATGCCTCCAGTTTATGCAATGTGTCGGCACTAAGCATACACCACACATGAAAACGTCTCGTTTAATATTTCTGATGTTTCGGGGAGGTTTTGCTAGTTAGTGCATCTTTTCAAATCAACAATTGTAGGATTCTGTTGTCCTGCAGGAGCAGCTGTTCGAAGCTCAACGCTACGACATCACCGTCGACGGGCGCAACACGAAGCTGAAGGTCAAGGACGTGAGCGAAGCCGACTCCGGCGTGTATCACTGCGCCGCCGTGTACAACATCAGCACCAGCACCAACAAAATGCACCTGAAGGTCAGCCAAACAAACACTGAGCTCACTGGTAGAAAGAGGTTTTAAAGGAGAACTATTCATATTTTGCATATTCTAGATATTGCTAAAAAAGAAGTTATTTGATATTCAAGGTCAGTAAATGGTGGAAATTAGCTCCATCTGTCCAGATTAAGCATTGGGTTTCACAGTTTAATGTCTTCTCTAAAGCATCTTTCAATTATGTTTTCCAGGTGTTTTTTGTTTAGCTTAAGGACGTGAATCTTGTGATTTTCTCCTGCAGGTTATTACCATCTGGGAGCCATTGAAGCCTTTCTTAAGCATCCTGGTTGAAGTTGTCATCTTGGTTACTGCGATTCTCATCTATGAGAGGAGTCACTCCAAGAAAAAGGAAGCAGAAGGTATAATGCATGTTTTTTTTTTCTCCCTTTTTTCACTTTAACTATGAAACTGTGTGATTTGCTTAGTTTGGAAGAGCAACTTATGTTTACTGGTAAGTATGGAGAAGGATCTGTGATGCTGTGGGAATGATTGTATTTCAAAATGCCCTTTGACTATTGTTAGCATACATTCCAACATGGACTCATTTATCGAACCAGGAGATTTGAGATAAATCTTTAATTGGCTCTTTAAAAAAGAATAAAAATAATTGTGGCCAAATTAACACAGAAATGGTTTGCAAAAATGTGAGTTGTTTTCCTGCACTGCAAAAACAAAATCTTATAGAGTATTTTGGTTTCTAGTTCAAATATCTTACTACACTTGAAATAAGATAAAACTAACTTAGGATCAATTTTTCTGCAAGAAACAGGAGCTTGTTTTACATAATTAATTCCTTATTATTCAAGAAGAAAGACTAGTTTCATTAACAAATCATTTCACTATAACATGGAAAAATGTCTTGTCAAAAGTGAAATAATCTGCCAATAAAACTGGTAATTGTTCATCCATATTAAGCAATAACCGTCTTAAAAAAAGCTACTGTATCTTGCTGAAAAGTTGTTAATAAGTTAATTTTGTCTAATTTTAAGTACTAAGGTATTGCACTAGAAACTCAATTTAAAATACGCTGGAATATTTTGTGTTTTTGCAGTGCTCAGATTAAAGACAGGATGTTCATGCCTTTACTCTTATATACAAATACAGTATATAAGACTAGAAAATTGCCCTTTAGCTAAAATATTTATTTAACTTATGGATATGTTTAACTACCAATAAAACAAATCTACTGTTGTGAATAATTTCCTGCCTTTTTCACAGCTAATGGTCCGAATGCTGACCCAAAGTGAGTACTTCAAAAATAGTCATCACGTTTTTTTGTTTTGTGTATTATGCTTTTTTAAAATAATGATAAATATTTTTGTCTCAGGCCACAGGGTGAAGACGACGAAGCTGAGGAAAGCTCCTCAGTGAGGCAGCGCAAAACCTAAAAGACGTCTGCAGCAGCAAATTCAAGCATCTATGACACTCTTATTTTATTTCTGAATGTTAAAAGCTTATATAGCAAAATATAAACAGCTATTTTTTTGTAAATGTCTTCGTCCTGAACACCAGCTAAGTGCAATGACCATCATCTAATCAAGTAATACACTCAGAGCTTTCTGGTCTCACGTTCACTGACCAACATGTTTCCTGTTGTCAGCGTTTTGCATTCCTCTCCCTCCGGCTGTGTTTCAAACTGAGGTTGTCTTCACACGTTTCCGGTGCAGCATCTGCCACAAACGGAAGCCGCCCTGCATTTCAGCTGTGATGTAATGAGTTGTGGTTTGTGAGCAGTGCCTTAACCCTCTCAAAAAGCAACTGACTCGCTGCGTTTCCATGGAAAACAGATGTTCTGCAATGTCGAATAAAATGTTTTTAATTTAAATTAAAATCACTCGTGAATAGGCTTGTTCACGCGATAAGTCACTAAAATAATCATCTATTAGAGGAAACGTCCAGGCCTTGGAGTGATTACATATGTAGCGTTTTTTTTTTTTCGGAAATTATAGATTTTGATATGGATTCAACAATTTCAAATGACTCACCACTTTTTATGAACTGGGTGATAATGTGAGGTGGAGTCAACTGCACATTGTCTGAAAAATAAAAACAAAAACAGCCATCCTAATGCTACTTCCTGTCGTCTTCTTCCTCTTTTCCACCAGTGATAACATCCGGCTGTTGTTGATCCAGACTCAAGTGATAGAAAAACCTGTAAAGAAAATGTTTTTTCGTCTTGAATTAGCACGTCGCCATTTTGTAATTCCAATTTGCTCGATGGAAACGGAGCTGGTGTTCTCCTGGCCAGCAATGATTTTATTTATTTCTGAATTTAGGTTTGTTTTTGTGAGCTTTGGAAGTGACGTCATATTAAAATACTTGTGCATCATTGTCACGTCAACATATTCAGCCTTCACTGTTTATGCAAGTAATGATATTAAAGCTCCACAAATTAAAGTTTATCTGAGTCATTTTTCTTTGAATCAATGGTTTGCTGGTTTAATTCAATTCAAAAGGTTTAGAAGAGGGAAGTTAAATGTTGTAATTCAAATATGACTGAATTAATACTAGCAGTTCACTAAAGCTGCAACTTTTATTTAAAAATATTATTTTTTTACATATTTGTTAAAACTGTCACTATGTTGTAACAGTTTAATATGAGACAGATAATTTGTGAAAAGATTTATCTCCTCCCAGTCAAAACCAAACAAACAAAAATGTGCTGCAATCAGAGGGCAGCAGATGCTTTATTGACTGTTTTGCAGTAAGTTACATTTTCTCTACAAGCTGAAATTTGGTGACCCCCCCCCCCCCCATCTTCAATATCCGTGACACGCAGTCATAGTTATCAGCTTCACATGCCAAAGTAACAGGAATAAAAGAAACAACCGTATCATTGACAGAAGCTTCTGATTGTTCAGAATTTCCATCTTAAGCCTGAATCTGCATTCAGTCTGTTTATAGTTTGGTTGATTAAATAACCATAAACCAAATGTTTCAGCTTTAGTGACAAACGATCAGCTTCCTGCATGTTTGTGTCCCGTTCAGCTGTGAGGCTGGTTCATGAGGAACTGAACCAGAAGCCTGAGGACGCCGTCGTCCAGCCCCACCACCGCGCCGTCCTGCACGCCCTCGTAGAGTCGCAGGCTCTCTGTGCCCCACAGCAAGTTCTTCCTGGGGTTGTTGGCGTCCGTCTCCACGGACAGAGCCAGAGTGTTGAGCTGGTAGCAGAAGAAGGAGAAGAAATGTCCGTCTGTGATGACGGCCTGCGACACGAAGGGTCTGGAGACGTCCTGGTAGTCCCAGAAACCTGCAGAGGTTTGGCAGAAAGAAGGAGCAACCCGTCACTCTTTTCTCCTCCAACGCCATGATTCCAGGTCATCCTCGTTGTTTGTGGTGTGAATATATAACTAAATCCTGGTTTCTGACCTTGGTACATGGCCTGAGCTCCGGTCCAGGCAAACAGGCTGGCGGCGGCATTGGCTCGGAGGAAGGGCTCCACCTGGTCCGATTGCTGCTGCTGAGCCAGCCGGTCTCTGTGGTACCGGTCCGGTACCAGATGAAACTGAGTGTGACCGTAGCAGGCTGGGTCTGGCAGCTTCGCTCCTGGAAAAACGGAGGAAAGAAGAATTATAAAAAAACATTGTGTTAACTCTAAGTTCATAATGATATAAAAAGCTAAAGAAAAAGTTTTTTCCAGGTTTTTATATTTATATATATATATAGTATATAAAACAGACAGTATCCTTGAAGTTTACTTTTTATAAACTACTGATTTATTTAGGATACTTACTTCTTCCACAAAGTACTGATACTTGGAATATTTTGATTTTTGATTCAATCTTGTGTGAAGTTTAAGTTGTAAGAAGCTTATTTCTTCTGGCTCTTGGATAGAAACTGCTTTTTTATTGTGTTCTTGAGTTTATTCCCCTTTATTGCACCTCTAGGCGTGAGATATGAAGTTTGACTTTTTTTTTGAGTTTTAGGAGTTTTACCTGTGAAGATGATGTTGTCATATTGCCTTCTGAACAGAGGCATCTTGTTGGGGGTTTGGTGGATTTCTGGGACCTCAGCTGTGTAAGACGCTTCCAGTGGAGTAAACTGATGAAAAACATGACAGGAAAATAAGACAAAGTTAACAGAATGCATGAAATTATGTCTGTATTTTCCTATTCCTAGTGTAAAGAGACGTTATTTTACCTGCGGTAGCTGCTGAGGTGTTCTGATCTGGATGTGGGGATGGTCATCGATCTGAAACCTGATTGGCTCCTGTCGGCCTCTGCGGTGGCCTCTCGGGATTATTCTCTTTCCCCTCCTCCAATAAAAGTTCACCTGTGGACTGAGATCTGAAGAAGAAGAAAACAAACATCAGAAACCAAAACCAGCATAAAAGGGGAGCACTGGTTTATGTAGTCTGCTGCGTAGGAACAGACAGGTGTAGGTATCAAACTGACTTTAGAGACTTAAGTTTTGAGATTCACGATTCATTTTACAGGACAAAACTACAATGACTTTTTGACTACAACTCATGATAAATGTAATCTCAAGGAAACAGAATCCAATTTGATCCTAAATCAATCCAGTTAGAAAAGTGCTGAACCTTTATTTTTAAGAATAATGTATTTCAAATATTTTTATTATTGTAATCCAGGAGCAGTAAGAGGAGCTAGAAAACACGTTAAAGTGAGAAACGTTCTCATGTTCGTATTTAAACAAGAAAGGTCATTAAAATGGAACAGCAACAACTGGAGAGATGTTCATGTGGCGTCTACAAGAAACAGAAGGTGGAAGGTCAGAGAAAGCCTCTTTACGCCTTTTTTAATTGAGAAGTTATAATCGCTCACATGAACCAATTTTTACTAGAATATCAAAACAAGAAAGTTTGTCACTTTAAATTGTTAGAACAAGAAAGTTTCTAATTGCAACTGGAGTATAAAAACTCAAATAAGGCTATTTTTTTGAAACACCATCTCAGCCTGAGCAGTAATTAAGCATAAACTGTACAAAAATACATAGTATCGGCTCGATACCAAAATATGCATCAGCACACCTTTGCTCGCTGCTCAGTCCTTCACAAATGACCATTCAATACAGTCTAAACAGTGATGCAGCAATCCATAAATAAACCTCTGATGTTGTTTTTTGGTGAACTTCATCATCCGTACCCAGACTGGAGAGCCGCAGCAGCGGGTTGTATCTGGCCAGGTTGTAGGTCAGGCCAGAAACCAGGGTCCTCAGGAAGGGACCGACCACCTGCTCCTGGTGTCTGTACAGAAAAGGTCTGCGCTTCATCGTCTTGTGCCAGTGCTCGTGTAAAATCACCCGGGTGACCACATCTCGGATTTCATTGAACGCAGCATCGTCGATCTCAGAGGCAGCCGGTTGATCCGAACCCGGGTCGAACTTCTCCGGAAGGCCCGGGATGTACGCGGTTTTGGTGAAGTGCTGGTACCACCGGTCCGGGTTTCGTGAGAATGTCTGAGGGTAGACGACAAATTTCATTCGCTGGATGCGAGTGATTAGCGACAGCTTCTCCTCCACAGGAGAGGAGGAGATCATTTTAATGCGCTCCTCGTTCTGCCGCAGCCGGGCGGATTTGCTTTTAGCCGTCAGAGAGGCGACTATGGGCGGATACTGAGGCTCCTTCGTGGCTGCTTCGGAGTGGACATGTTTCAGGGAACTAAGTGGAGGAAAACTTCTGGGGAGCAGCAAGGGCAGCTTCATGCGGGCCGCCATGTTTCTTCTTTGAGTTCTTCCTCGTGGGTTTTATTCAGAGTTAAATAACAACAAACCAGTGCAATAGCGCCACCCGCTGTTACGGAGAGGTATCAACTTCAGTTTATGATTTAAAATGATAAAAATGTATTTAGCTAGTAACTTTCTGAGACAGAGGTTTCAAATGTCTATTCTGTGAGAAAGTAACTGAGGATCGGGATAAATTGTAATTTGGCTGGATCTTCACCAGTTTATCTGGGTTCACTTTTGACAGATATGACCATCCAAGAGGTTAAACTTGGTGTTTTTATTAATGCTCATGTTACAATCATAATATTAACTACGGTGTAAATATTATTCTGTTATTATCCAAACATTAACTACACAACTGTTGCTTCTTTAAAAAAATAAATTACTTTATGAACTGCAAGAATGAGTCACTTTTTTTTTTTAAGTCAAAAATGCTTTTAAGTTGAAACAATTTGTTCGTCAATGTTTTGTCCAGAATTTTTATGATGTATATATATACAATACGCCCACTAGGTTTTTGGTTCATTTTGGGGATTTGTTTGTTTTTTTGTTTTGTTCTGTTTGTTCTTTGAAACTTTTTTGTGGTGTGAGCACATAATTAAATGAATTTATTTACATTTTATTTATTTATTTTGTCAAAAAGCATGATTTTTTATTATGGTTAATTTATTAAAGTTCTGGAAAGAGTAAACCGTCTAAGAGGTGATTTTTTATTTTTTTTTGTTATGAGCAAAGTATGTTAATCAGCACTTTAAACGCTGCTGCTCTTGAAGCGACCCCTTAAATACGTCATTGATGTTGCCTTTAGAGCCATTTACAAACTGACGGATTTTCTTTTTTTTTTTTCTTTTTTTTTTTTTTTGCTAAGTGTCAAACTTCAGGCCTGAAACTTTTAGATGTGCCTTTGCTGCACCATTCCTGAATAGAATAAGTGGGTCATTACGGATCTGGAGAGCTTATCTACACAAGGAGGAGGTAATTAATTATTTCCAGAGTTTTGTACCTGTGGCACATCTAAAAACTGCAGGCCCTTGAGGACTGGTATTTGAACGCTGTATACTATTACTATCGTAAGTAATAATTTGAAAAATGGGGACAGAGTTTATTTTTTTTTAAAAATTAAAAGTTTACTTGCGAAGTCTATGCGAAAATATATGTTTTAAATTAAACCTGGCTTCTCGCACTCAGAGAAGTTAGATTTTTACGAGATGTCCATAAAGGCAGCATTAGCTTGGCGTGTTTGGTTTGGAGTTCCTGAGTTTGTGAAGCTTTTTGGTGTCAAACGTAGATAAAAACTGAAGCATTGTCAACTGTAAACTATAATAGTTAGACATGTATTTTCGAGATATTTTTCGGGCGCAGTTGGTCGGGACCAGGGCGTGTCTGTTCAACCCTCTCCGGCGAGTTTATCGAGTCGAGGTAGCTGCTGTAAAACCAACCCGTTTGCTTATGATCATAAACAAACACCAGGGTAGCAATGTTCAGTGTCCCACCACCAAATCTGCCCTGCCTGGATGATCGTTTTATTTTCTTTTATAAACAAAATATTTTGTTTGTTTTTCTCTGTGCATTTCAGAGGTCACTCTGCTCGAAGAGTGATGAGGTGAAGCTGGCAGAGGAGGCCAGCAAAAGATACAGCCCTGCAGGTGCAACCATCTTCTCCAAAGTTATTGATAAAAGCCTCCCTGCAGATATTATCTATGAAGATGACAAGGTGAGCAGCCAGGAAGATGTTAAGTTTTACTAACTCACATGACCTACTAGTTAAATGTTTACAAATCTTGGTTTTAGGGCCACTGGAGATGTGAAAAATGAGTACATTTCTGCCAAAAAAAACAATTGATTAACCTCCGAAGTTTTCTGGAAAAAACAGGGACATTCCAAAAGTAGAAAAGAAATTAAAAATTCTGGGTATCAGAAAGGTTCTAGAGAAAACGGATAAGTTTCAAAAGTATTTTTTTACTTAGAAACTCAAAATGTGCAATATTTAAAAATATATATATAAATAAATCCTGAGTTGCTTGTTGCAAATTTTTGACTTTTGGAGCTCAGAATTTTTTTTTTTTTTTCTTGAAAATATGTTGGATTAATCTCAAAATTTCTGAGTTTTCTGGCAGAAATTGACTCCTTTTTATCTCTAAAATGTTGTTTTATGAATCAGATGATTTCAGTTCAGCAAAAAGCCTGTTCATCAATTAGCAGAGACAAACCTAAAACATGCAGGACCACTGTTGGAAACATTCACCTTGTCCACAGGGAATGAAAACATTTCATTTTTTTGTCCTGTTTTCAGTGTTTGGCATTCAGGGATATCAGTCCACAGGCCCCCATTCACTTCCTGGTTATTCCACGGATCCCCATTCCTCGAATAAGTGCAGCTGAAGATGCTGATGCTGGGGTATGACGCTCTTCGCAGAAATCCTGCACCCATTGTGACACCAACTCCTGCAATTCTGTGACTTGGTCTCAAAATAACAAAAAATTGAGTTAGCAAATGCATGTTTTTGTAAGATATGAACATCTTTAAATTAGTCAGTTGTTGCCTCCAACAGTGGCACAACTAGTTATTTCTTTTTTGAGTAAATTTTCCCCTACATTCTAAATGAAAAATTTTAAAGTATTAAAAAAGCAAACAAAAAAACTTTTCAGAAAAGTTAGAAAATAACTATGGAATATCTGAGTCAGTCAGAACAAAACAGTCAGAAAATGTAAACTAACAAAAAAAGGCAAAAGAAATGTGAGTAAGCTAATGCAAGAAACAGAAAAAATACAGATCTAATAATCTACTAATTTATTAATATAAATAGTGAGACCTTATGCATCTATAAACATAGATGGAGGCGGCTAGAGTAGAAAAAATGTTAAAGTAGTGGTGCTTCAACATTTTTACGCAAGTAAGTCAAAAGTAACCCAGTAATCAATCAAGAGTAAAAAGTATTTAATGAAAAGGAACTCAAGTACTGAGTAGCTGAAATTTACGCATTACTAAAAATTATATCAGTCTGACGAAAAGGTTTAAATTTTGGTACTTCAAATATCGTTTCAATTTAAACCGGATGAAACTTAATGCAGTTTGAGTTTTGTGTAAAAATAATTTTGACCGGTAGGTGTCAGTATATCCGCATTGACAAGTTTGTGTTTGAAATTGGTTCAGGTTGCAGTTTTATCTTAAATTGTAGAAGTTTAAACCTAAACCTGAGCAGATGGAGTTAATTACTTACTTTTTTCTTTTCTAAAAATATTAAGTCTTGCTCATTTTCTCTCCAACATTCAGCTCTTGGGACATTTGTTGGTTGTTGCTAAAAATGTGGCAAAGCAGGAATCTCTTAGTGAAGGCTACAGAGTGGGTAGGTACTTTCATCCAGATGTTTAAAAACTCTTCTTGAAAATGAAATTAATGAGTAATTACTGTTTAATCACCTGCATTGAATTTGCAGTGATCAATGATGGAAAGCACGGATCTCAGTCGGTCTACCACCTTCACATCCATGTCCTGGGAGGAAGACAGATGAAATGGCCGCCGGGATAAAAGACTCACACTGAACGGCCGAAACATCTGGAGTCATCCTTTCAAGAAACTGGATTTTTCTCTAACTGATTAATGAAACCAGTGGTTTGTCAGGCTTTATGAAGTCCTTTCATGTTGTGCTTAGATTGCACAACATGCTGGATATCTCTCCTTTTAGCTAAGAGCTTCTTGAAAATCAAGTTGTTGGAGAAAAAAAACAACTTGATGAAAGTCAATTGTTGCCATTTTATATAGAGGATTTAGAGGGAATTATACTGTTTGTCTTACAACAGTGTATTTAAGCAATGAGCATATTGAAAAGGAAAGCCATCTGTTGGTAAATCCAGCTCTTATTTTATTTAAATGTGTCCAGATTGAATAAAGAGCTTAAGTAAACATTCTTGTGACAAGAAATGAACATTTGAAATGTAAATATGTTGATCTATCAGCAAGTTGGTTAAAATAGCTATAATTCAGTGGAAGAGGACAGACAATCTCAGTGAATTGCCAAACCAGTGAGAATTTGTGCAGATTGCCAGTTCGCAGCAGAGATAAATATATTAAATATATTTTACACAAATGTGAGGAAAAAGTAATCCAAAAATGATTAAAGAGTAAATAAAATACAGGCTAAAAAGTGATTTAAGTACAGAGTACAAATAGACAAAAATATAAACTGTGTAAATCCTGGTACTTTAAAGAATGTGATTTTTTTTTAAAGCATCATTACTCGCGTCTAAGCTGCGTCATATTTCTATCCAGCAAGGCACATGCGCCCCGCGGGAGGGTTGCCAGATTTGACATTTTCGTGTCCAAAGATCATAAAATAATATTTGGACTTCAAAAAACCAGTCCAAATCTCAACGAATAATGCTAATGTTAACACCACTAAGTATTTTAGACGTAGTTTACCCTTAACTTTTAACACATCTGATTGTATGACCACATTCGTGCTAAGAATGGTTAAACATCGTTGGGGTTTAGGGTACTACAAACTATCTTTGTCATATTGTATTTGTAGAAATATGATTGAGTGAGCGCTCTTAAGAGCAAACTATCTTTGACGTATTTCTCTGTGGTAACCTTGACAACAAGAATTTAGGTACCGGTAGTTGGGAGATAGTAAACGGCTCTTGATCACCCTGAAGGTGATTTATATACGCCTTGTACCTTGGAAAACTTACGGCTTTGTAAGTATTTATATGTTTGGAAGACAAGAAGTGTCGAAAAAATGGAGAGTGGTGTACATACTCTTTGAGTGTTGCGTTAAAATGAGCGTATTTGCTTTTCCCGCCGAAAAGATAAGCCCCCATGTCCTCCAGTAGCTCCAGCTGAAGCATTAGCTTTAGCTCTTAAAGATGCAGAGATCCAAAGCGGAACAAATTTGTCCCATAGATGCAAATGAATTCTTTTAATTTGTAATTAGGATAAATATTGCTACCAACATAATTTTCTTACACAGGAAAATGTAAAGTACAGCACAAAGTTTTTGTGTTTTTACAACCAAGTTTTAACAAAAGGTAAAACAGTTCACTCAGAGACTTTTATTGAAAAGCCTACATTTCTGCACCCAAATCAGTTTGTATTCTTTCTTAAACATGATTAGATATAGCAAACATTTTTTTAAACAAAGTGATCCTGTTCTTATTACTGAAAATGAATTTATTCAATAAAGCCCAAAACAAACTCAAAACCAGATGTCTTTCTTGTTATACATCAAGCATGCAAAATCTGCTACGGCATCATAGGGCCATTGTAGAAAAAAAAAAAGTAGTAAATTTCTGCCCAAAAAAATTGAGAACAGGTTGTGGAGGGTTGAAGTGACATCAAGGAGGGAGTGTGTTGCCATCCGGTCAAATACTATAATTTATAGTTGAAATAAGTTACATTAAAAAGTTGGAAAATAAGTTCATAGTTTGTAAATTCAATGACTATAAATTCACTCTAAGAATGGCTAAATTTTTTTAAAACAAAATTACGACCTTTTTTATTGTATTCGAGGAAACATGAGAGTGAGCGCTCTTGGAAGCAAACTATCTTTACTGTACTGTTCTCCGGTAACCATGACAACAAGAATTTGGATAGTTAGGAGAAAGTAAACGGCTCTTACCACTCTGAAGGTAATTCATAATTAGTGTGCTCTGGAAAACCTTCATATTTGTCAGTATGTTTGGAAGACACAGGCAGGTGTTGTTTTTCTGGTGGGTAAAATGTAGAGCTGTTTATTTGAAGGCAGCATTAAAATGAGCGCGTTAGCTCATTTCTGTTGTAGTTCAGTTACAAAAACGTTTTCAGTATGCCATTAGATGAGTTTGTTGGCTAGTAATATATTTTCCATTCTGTTGTATTTCAGTTACAAAAGCGTTTTGAGTTTAGCATAAAGGGTTGGATAAATATAACAATTATTTAATGCATTATAATTATTGGGTTGTTGTCTTTTTTCGATCCAATAACGATTTGGAACACCATGCTAATCGATTAGATCTCCCGCGAGAGTTAGCAAAACTTTGGAGAGCTGTGCGCACTGTGTAAAGTTTTATAATTGAATGTACTTTTTACGTTTCCCACATTGGATAATAGAAAGTTTGATCAGGTTGTTGAGCATAGACATGAGTACTTTGTTGTTGAGGACCTGGCGCCATATTTCTTCTTCTTCTTGGGTTTATTAGCGGTTGGCCAAAAGCTATATGGTGTGCACTACTACTTTATTTCAGTGGTAAAACAGTACTTTCATTTTTAACCCTTATAGAGCTCAAGGGTTTTGTTTTACTTTCAGAAACTTTACTCTTAAAAATGCTAAAATATACACTTTTAATGTAACGTTCATATGGGCAGAAAAAAAATTACACAAAATTATTATTAGGTCCTACAGTTCATTATTTTTATTGTTACTCATTAGTAATTCTATTCCTAATCTAAGTCTACAACGTTCCCTAGAGAATTTCTTTTAAAGCACAATAGCAAAAATAGGACAAGGTCAACCTCCAGGTTAGCTTGTGAGTTTCAGTTTAGAAAATCTTTGTTTTTGCAGAATATTTTATCAATTAAATGACTTAGGTACTGGAACACATTGCCTGTTACCATTAGAGAGAATGCCAGTAAGTGGAAGCTTAAAACATGGTTGGTCTGTGTTCTTTTTTTTTTTTAGCAATTTCATGTTTTAATGACTGTTTTTATGGCTGTTGTAGTTTGCTAAATATTGTAAAAGACACCAGCACTTTGATATAGGCATTTTAGAATATGTTTTCCTGCCCCATTCACGTTTTATTTATTTTTAGTGTAATTTGATTTGGAGTTGAAGAAAGATGAGGTAAGGCAAAACTGCAGGTTTTCTGGACAATTTGCAGATGCCTTGAGATTACACAGATAATCAGCAATCATAAAGAGGCCTCAAAAAAGTATCATAACCAAGTGAGCAGTCAACTGAATTGCAATGTGCCAAGCTGCAAATACTCAAAGGAGATTAAACATAGAAATATCAAGACCAGAACAAATTGCACAAGAGGTTATCTGGTCAAAGGAAGGCAGGAACCTGAGGAACAAATGGATGTTAAAACCACCATTTTGGAAGCCATTTTCCAGAATGGTAGCTTCTCAAAATATCAGCGCATGTTCTTTCTTCAGTGTAGCAAGCAGACGTCTTTTTAAAATAGTTATTCATAAACCGCAGCATTGTCAGCGCAGTAATAAATCCACAGATATCTTCTGGAATGACTGGAATTTCCCCTTATCAGACTTGATTGTAAACAATAATATAACATCCACAAGCTGCAGCACACCTCAAATGTTTTTCTTTAGTTTCAGTCTTTCTTTAGTTTGGGTTTTTGGCACACATCAAGCCCCTCACTAATCATTCACCAGTTACAAGCAGAAGGGACTCTGGGTTAGGACGGCTGTGGTGTGACTGGGTGGTGTGATCTCAGTGTGTGGGGTAACTATATGTCACCGCAGAAAGACGGTTAAACTTTTCCCTATATTTACTGATAAAACAGTGCTCAGCACCTGCAGCATGGCCAAACAAAAGGCAGAACTGAGGAAGAGGAGGAAGTATTGGCCACATTTTTATGTAAATTTTAAATGCTTCCAGTTTAAAAAAAAAATACTACTACCTCTTTCTGAAATATTCAGCTGTTTTTCTTGCTTTTACATTTCAAACATCTCCCTCTTAAATGTGTTCATCTTGTAAACAAAAGCATAATTGCACATTTCAACTTTTGAATAGCTTTTATGAGCCAAAGTCTTATCTTTTCTCCTATTGTCATAAAAGTTATATAAAGTTCATTGTGCATTTCTGATAAAAACTGTCTTCATAAACCAATTTCAGCTGATCAGTATCTTAACAACACCCCACACCCACTTCATTTTTGGTTTATAGTATTCATAATAGTCCCTCGTGCTGAATGTTTGTCCTTTCCAAGCAAAGCCAGCAGTTCTCAAGCCTCTGTAATTAATGCAAACACAACAGGTTTTTGTAGCTGCAGGCTGCTATGTGTTGCAGGTATTAGGTTGTCTTCACCTTGTCGAGATCTGCTTTTGTCCAGGAATCTTTAACTAATCATTCTGGCCTTAGCGAGCAGTTTCTAGTCGGATTATGCGAGTTTCTTCAGCTCTTAGATGAGGCAAGAGAATCTACTTTGATCGCCTTTTTGAAGTTGTCCAAACTATGCTTTTTTGCGAGGAACAGTAGACGACTTGTGTAGGGCAAAGGTTGATGTCGGTCGAGCCTACACTCGAGTGCCTCTGAGAGATTGATGCCACTCAGCTGTGAGAGCATTGAAGGTAAGACGTCACCCGCAAAGCTTTTTGGTCAATTTTCTGCTTTCTTGTGCATTTATAAGGGAAGAAATAATTTTGAATGTTAAAAAAATACCAGCATTTACTTCAGTTAGTTTATCCATAGTATGTACAGCTATGAATTGTTGTGTTTTCTTTGTGTTTCTTGGGTGTAGTGATTATAGCAAACTCTTTCAAAAGGAGTTTGACAGGACAGCTGCAGTACGTAGTAAAAATATTCATACTTCTTGAACATTTGCACCATTCTCTAACAATGCATTGATTAGAAATGTATGTATCACAACACACACAAAGCAGAATATATTTGTGAGGTGGATAGAAGATTATTTAGTTTGCTTTATGTTTCAGTTGAGTTTTGGCTTAATTATGTAGATCTACAGCTGTGGGCATCTCAATAAACTCTTACAGAACAAACATTCAGTTTACTCAATCTAATAATGTTAATATTGCATTCTTTCCAATTTGATCCTAGATATAAAACAATGCAAGGGATTTTATCTTTTTATGAAAGTTGGTAAAATGATTTCTGGCTAATGAAATGCAGCTGATTGTTTTGTTGAGTGACTGGATTTGCAGCAATCACTCCTGAACCATCAGGAGGT